GCCTGCCACCACGCCCAGCAAATTTTTTATATTTTTAGCAGAGATGGGGTTTTACTATGTTGGTCAGGCTGGTCTTGAACTCCTGACCTTAGGCGATCCACCCACCTCGGCCTCCCAAAGTGCTGTGAGCCACCGTGCCCTGCCAACACATGCCGTTTGGGAGACACATTCAACTATTATTTTATCTGTTGCCATTGAGACTATTGTTCTCTTAATCAAACTCCTTGTATTTCTGCAAAAAAAAACCCTGACAAGTTTATAATACCGCCCCCTGTAACCTTCCTGCCACTGATAAGCTGAGGGTAAAAATGTTAAGACCCAGATACTGAAAAAAGCAAGTAAGGCCTGGGAGTCAAACCAAAGCTGAAGAACTTAACTCAGAGCTTCCCAGTAGCCAAGGCAAAATAATAAATAAATAAAAGGGAAGCTCAAGGGGTTGTGGAACTCTTGAATTGCAGAAGAGGAAGCAAGCCAGTTTGTCAGAATGCTGACCTCTGGAGAGGGCACAGGGACCTTGTGTAAGAGTGTTGTGTAAGGACTTTCAGCTTCACTGAAAGACGAAGGAACTGCCTGGGTTTGGTCACTTCTCATACTGACTTTTTTTTTTTTTTTTTGAAGACAGAGTCCCGCTCTGTTGCCCAGGCTGGAGTGCAATAGTGTGATCTCAGCTCACTGCAACCTGCAACCTCCACCTCCCGGGTTCTGGTGATTCTCCTGCCTCAGCCTCCCAAGTACCTGGGATTATAGGCGCCACCACCACGCCCAGCTAACTTTGCATTTTTAGTAGAGATGGGGTTTCACCATGTTGGCCAGGCTGGTCTCAAACTCCTGACCTCAGTGATCCGCCTGCCTCGGCCTCCCAAACTGCTGGGGTTACAGGTGTGAACCACCATGCCTGGTCCATACTGACTCCTAAGAACAGCTGATGGCATGGCCATAAATTGTAGTTCTCAAAAATAAATAAATAAATACATAAATAAATTGTAGTTCTGGGAAGGCATTTCTTTGTTTTGTTTTCCCTAGGAATCAGACTGAGAGGAAGGCATATTTTTGTAGGAAGCCGAAATAATGTAATCTAAGCATGAAACTTTCTGGTGATTTCCTTTAGTAGAGATTTAACAAACACATGAACTGTGTGGCTTTCGTGCTGTTCTTTCATGTGAGGAATCTCACAACTGTCTCGATGAAGTTGGAGGCAAGAAATTATTATGCCGTTTTACAGATGAGAAAATGGAGGCTCAGGGAGATTGACTTATCCAGGGTCACACAGCCAATTAAGTTGCATACTAGGACTCAAGCCCAAGTTTACAACCTTTTCCTTTTTGTTACATTGTTAGAGAAGGGGGAAGTGTCTGACACTGTTAAATATCCACGGTGTATTAGGACTGGGTCGTGTGTGTGTGTGTGTGTGTGTGTGTGTGTGTGTGAGACAGAGTCTTGCTCTCTCACCCAAGCTAGAGTGCAGTGGCATGATCTCGGCTCACTGCAACTCCTGCCTCCTCGGAGTGATTCTCCTGCCTCAGCCTCCTGAGTAGCTGGGATTACAGGTGCCCACCACCACACCTGGCTACTTGTTGTTTTTTTAGTAGAGACGAGGTTTCATCATGTTGGCCAGGCTGATCTCGAACTCCTGATCTCAGGTGATCTGTCTGCCTCAGCCTCCCAAAGTGCTGGGATTACAGGAGTGAGCCACTGCCCCTGGCCTAGGATCGGGTATTTGTAAGTACCACCTCATCTATTTCTTACAGTAAATCCTAGAGCCACGTAATCTTAGCCCATTTTACAGAGAGGATCGGCGGTTGTCCAGGCCATACAGATAGTAAGTATTAGAGAAGCTAAGCAGGGATTCCCAACCAGGGTTTGGTGATGGAACTTAAGGATGTGCGAGGATTCAATTGAATTGCACAGGAACATTTCTGGTTGAGAGGGGAGAGGGTGGCTTTCACGGAGCCTTAAAAAACCCAAATAGAAATAAATGAGAAAAACAGACCCATGAACTCAAAGAAAGAATCATAGTGACAGCTCATATAACCGAGTCCCAACCAGGGGCCAGGCACCTGGCAAGGCCTGGATGAGCTTATCGTTCCCATGAGGGTTAGGGTGCATCATCCCCATCTCACAGGTTGCTCAGCTAGCAAGTGGCCTTGTATGGTGACTGAGTTTGGCTTCTTTTCCATCATCACGTCTTGTGGCTTGGTTTTTTTCTCGCAGTGAGTAGAATTTTTCTTCCTCTTTTGTGGAGCTGGGAATTACAAGGCAGAATGATATACTGTGCTTTAAAAGGTCATTGCCTGTTTCCAGGTCACCTCTGTCTGTTCCCTTGCCCGTGGCAACAAGCTGATTGGATGGTGGTTGGTTAAGAGTGAACAACTGAACAGATGAATGAATGAATGACTAAATGGATGAGGGAAGTACCTCTTTCTTGGCGTTCTGGATCAGCATTCATGGATCCATTTCTGATGACTTTTATTCAAGGGTGTTAGGTCACCGTAGTGCTAGACAGAAACTGAGGAAGCTGAGGTCAGGCCCAATGTTGATGACCAGGGAGGACTGGAGTGACCCAGCAAGCCTCCTTCCTCCTCAGCAGGCAGTGATGTGAAGTGGGCTGTGCCACCTTCCACAGCTCTCTGCCATGGCACACAGCCTTCCACAGCATGTGGCAAGCCTGGCAGGGCCTGGAATGCCTTGCTACCCTTGGAACCTAGTACCTTTCCTATCCCTTGCCCATGTTAAAGTCCCCTGGTTTATCTGCTGTGGTTTTGCATCCCAGCCTGGCATACCCCCTAGTGCAGCCCAGTGGTGGGGTCCTGGTTCAGAGTAACCGCATCAGCAGCCCTATTTTACCGCTGAGGACACAGGCTCAGCGGATTGAAGTGACCTGTCCAAGGCCACACTAGTGAGCAGTAGACCTAGGTCTTGGGCCCAGCCGTGGCTAGCTCCAAAGCCACGCATCACCACATCCTCATAGGACCCTCATGACCTCAGGGTCATATTTACATTGCTGGAGACCTCATCAAATTCCTGAGGCCGCTCCACCCTACTCTGGCTGGAGAGCTGTCCCGGGTCCAGCTGGGCCATGGCTGAGAGCTTCTTTCCTGTTTAGAGAGAGTGTGGGTCTTCTCGACTGCCCCACTCTCCAGGGCTTCTGCTGAGCTGGATTGAAGGGACTTCACAACAGGTAGGAACCAGGAGCTGGAAGCTAAGAGTGATTTTGCCTGTCCTGAAGTTTGTGATGCCATCCCCCTTCCTCAACCACCTGTCACCCTACTTTGAGAAAAAAGAGGCTAGGCATGACGGCTCACGCCTGTAATCCCAACACTTTGGGAGGCCCAAGAGGGTGGATCACCTGAGGTCAGGAGTTCAAGACCAGCCTGGCCAAAATGGTGAAACCCCATCTCTACCAAAAATACAAAAAATTAGCTGGGCATAGTGGCGGGTGCCTGTAGTCCCACCTACTTGGGAGGCTGAGGCAGGAGAATGGCTTGAACCTGGAAGGCAGAGTTTGCAGTGAGCTGAGATCGTTCCACTGCACTCCAGCCCAGGTGACAGCAAGACTCCATCTCAAAAAAAAAAAGAAAAAAAAAAAACATTTAAAGAGGCTGGGTGCAGTGGCTCATGCCTGTAATCCTAGCACTTTGGGAGGCCGAGGCAGGTGGATCACGTGGTCAAGAGTTCAAGACCAGCCTGACCAACATGGTGAAACCCCTCTCTACTAAAAATGCAAAAAAAAATTAGCCAGGCATGGGAGTGTACGCCTGTAATCCCAGCTACTTGGGTGACTGAGGCAGGAGAATTGCTTGAACTCAGCAGGCAGAGGTTGCAGGGAGCCTAGATCATGCCACTGCACTCCAGCCTGGTGATAGAGTGAGACTCAGTCTCAATTAAAGAAAAAAAGAAAAAAGAGGCTGGACATGATGGCTCATGCTTATAATCCCAGCACTTTGGGAGGCCAAGGCAGGCAGATCACCTGAGGTCAGGAGTTCGAGACCAGCCTGGCCAACATGGTGAAACCCTGTCTCTACAAAAACACAAAAATTAGCCAGATGTGGTGGCAGGCACCTTTAATCCCAGCTACTTGGGAGGCTGAGGCAGGAGAACAGCTTGAACCCGAGAGGTAGAGCCAAGATCATGCCCTTGTACTCCAGCCTGGGTGACAAGAGTGAGACTCCGTCTCAAAAGAGAAAAAAAAAAAAAAAAGAAAAAGCATCTATTCGAAGAGCCCAGAGTGGGCCAGAAAGAGTGGGAATGGGAGTGAACCAGGGCAGGAAGAGCTTTTTACTGTAATTGTCCTTTCCGCCCTCCGCTAGGCTGGGAGCCCCTTGAGGGCCTGGACCTGGCTGTTCTCCCGGGGCCTGCAGTCTGTCAATGTGAAGTAGGTATATGATGGGTGAATGGATGACCTGAGGGTTTGGAGCCCTTGCTTCCCAGTCCGGGAACAAACTGTGTGGCCTTGGTCAGTTATATCCCCTTTCTTGGCCTCAGTTTCTCCATCTGAGCTGATCTTAGAGGCCCTGATATTCTAAGCCAGCAAGTTCCGGGGCGCTGGAAGATGAAAGGAGCCTGAGATAGATAGGTGCTGGGATTCTGGGAGGCCTTGGCCAGCTTGGCCGCGGGGAAGGCATCCTGAGGTTCTTGGCTGTGGAGCGTAGGAAAGAGGGCAGCTGGCTGGTGGGCACCAGGGCATAGGCGGGAGCAAGGAGGGAGGGTGTATGCTTGGCTGAAGAGGCTGTTTGCTGAAGCTTCAGGTCTTCAAAGCAGCTTGATTTTCCTTCTTCAGAAAATGAAGCCCCCAAGCAGCTCCTCTGGGTGTCAGAGCCTCCTGTGAGGGTGAGGCCTACTGGGGGATGGGGGGGCTCCCAAGGCAGGAGGAGGAGGGCCAGGGAGCAAGGACACCCAGGTACTGGATGCTAGTGGACCCTGCCTGGCTGGGACCTGGGGGTTTCCGGTCTCAAGGGCTAGGCAGCCCCACTCATTGTTACTTTGCCCTGTGTTTTCTGCAGATCATGATTGAGTTCTGTCCAGGGGGAGCCGTGGATGCTATCATGCTGGGTGAGTCTTACTTGATTGCCGGGACCAGACGACTGGTTTGGCGTCCTAAGCCTAACTGCTGAACGGCTCTGTCTAGGACTGGATCTTCTACTCTCCCACTCTGTCAGTTCCCATGGCCTCTGAGCACCTCTCTGCTTTGTCTGCTTTTGGGAGCAGGGTTTGGGTTCTTTTTTTTTTTTTCTCTCTCTCTTTTTTTGAGACAGAGTCTTGCTCTGTTGCCCAGGCTGGAGTGCAGTGGTGTGATCTCAGGTCATTCACTGCAACCTCCGCCTCCTGGGTTCAAGCGATTCTCCTGCTTCAGCCTCCCAAGTAGCCTGGGATTACAGGCATACACCACCATGGATGGCTTATTTTTCTATTTTTAGTCAAGAGGGGGGGTTGGGTTCTTGAAGAGAATGCAGGACATTCGCTGGAAGACCAGCACTCCCTGTCCCAAAAGCCATGTGTGGCCACCTAAACTGGCCACTCTCCCTCTTCAGGCCTCTTGACCATAAGACGGGTGTGATGCCTTCTTTGAGGGACCCCACAGCATAGCACTCTAAGAAGGTGAAACCAACATACCAGAGGAAGGTCTTTGAAAAGTGCGGAGACCCACACATTTAGTAAATGCTCAGTGGGGACAATGTCAGGTCTCAGTGTCCTGGGCAAACTTGAGCATAGCAATGAAGACGACTGCAGTGAAATGTTAGTAGTGATCATTCCTTTGTGAATAGTTACTACATGCCAGAGAGTATAACAGCCATGTTCACATATGTGATCCTCCTCTAATCCTCAGGTGTAAAATCAGGAAGAGTATTAGTTTTTTTTTTTTTTATTTTTTGAGATGAAGTCTTGCTCGGTTACCCAGGCTGGAGTGCAGTGGCACGATCTTGGCTCACTGCAACCTCCTCCACCTGGGCAATTCTTCTGCCTCAGCCTCCTTCCCAAGTAGCTGGGGTTACAGGTACCTGACACCACGCCCAGCTAATTAATAGAGACGGGGTTTTACCATGTTGGCCAGGCTGGTCTCAAACTCCTGACCTCAGGTGATCCACCCTCTTAGGCCTCCCAAAGTGCTAGGATTACAGGCGAGCACCACTTTTATTTTTGATTGAGCTGACACTTGAACGGTTAAAGGGCTCACCCAGTTCACGCAGGAGAGCTGTGAACCCAGGTCTGGGTGACCCGCTCCTCCCCACGGCCCATCCCGTAGCATCCCCGGCTCTTGCCACCCTACAGGGCAATGAGTTCAGAGAGGCTGAGGAGAGGCCTGGAAGGTTGAGAGACATGTCCAGGATTCCGGGATGGCCCAGAAGAGGAGAAGCACTCAGTATAATGTCACACCATTCAAGGTATTTTAGCTGAGTTTATCTCAGGACAGAGACGATCGTAATACTGAAACAACCTTGAATGCCATAATCCTGAATGTTGAAATCCCAAAAGAACAAAATGCCAAAAGTCTAAATTCCTGTCAAGTACAATCCTGAAAGATCGAAATCTCCAAAATATAATTCTAAAAAAAAGTTTTTTAAATTATTTATATTTATATTTTAAAGGGGGATTTGAGAAATATAAAAACCTGACAACACTTCATAGGCTACTTTACACAATCAAATAGGCAATAATAACGTACATATTTTTGCAAGCAGAAACACTCAGTTATACCCAGGATGGTTGCACAGGTATAACAATTATGAGCAGATCGGCCGGATGCGGTGGCTCACACCTGTAATCCCAGCACTTTGGGAGGCTGAGGTAGGCAGATCACCCAAGGTCAGGAGTTCGAGACCAGCCTGGCTACCATGGTGAAACGCCATCTCTACTAAATATATGAAAATTAATTGGGTGTGGTGGCAGGTACCTGTAATCCTAGCTACTTGGGAGGCTGAGGCAGGAGAATCACTTGAACCCAGGAGGCAGAGATTGCAGTGAGCCAAGATAACACCACTGCACTCCAGCCTGGGTGACACAGTGAAACTCTATCTCCAAAAAAAAATTATGAGCAGATGACTTGTACTCATAAAGAGGTCAAAAAGGGAAATGTATAAATGCGTATCACCAGGATTGGTGATTGTGTGCACACAGCTTTATAGCTGTTGTCTGAAATCTTGTAATGAACCACCCAAGCCTTTTGATGAGATCGATTAAAACCCTCAGTGGGTCACTAGGGCCTATGCAGATGCCCAAAGAGCTGGGATCTAGAGAAAATCTATCTTTCACAAATGCAGATGTACCAAAAGGACATCTCTTCATTTACTGAGGAACTTTCAACATTTTTACATAATGCACAATACTTACACACCAGCAATGCTGAGATAACACACTTTCATGGAGTTAAATTCACAAAAAACTCATAAAAGGAATTAGAACTCTCTTAAAATCTCCATACCATTTATACCTCCAATATTGAAAATGATGTGAGGATGAAATACATAGCATAGCGAATTGCAGAAAGTAATGCTGACTATTTAAAATAGCGGGGAAAAGGTTGTGTGTGGTGGCTCACACTTGTAATCCCAGCACTTTGGGAGGCTGAGGCAGGTGAATCACTTGAGGTCAGGAGTTCAAGACCAGCCAGGCTAACATGGTGAAACCCCATCTCTATTCAAAATACAAAAATCAGCCAGGTGTGACGGTGCACGTCTGTAGTCCCAGCTACGCAGGAGGCTGAGGCAGGAGAATTGCTTGAACCCAGAAGGCGGAGGTTGCAGTGAGCCAAGATGGCACCACTGCACTCCAGCCTGGGTGAGACAGTGAGACTCCATCTCAAAAAAACAAAAGGGGTGGAAGTGGGAAATATATATATAAACTAAAGACCATTTAGTTTTTTCAAATTTAACGTATGAACAAGTGTATTACAGGGATAGATTATGGACAGTTGCACAGAGACCATTCATAAGAGTTGGCCTGACAGGATACAACTATCCTGTGATTGAGATTTTTAGGATTTTAGACTTTAGGGATTTTGATCTTTGGGGATTTCAACATTTGGAATTATGGTATTTGAGACTGTGTCTTTTAGGATTGTGATCCAAACCCGTCTCAGAAATGTGTCAGATTCACAGTAGTCCATCCCATCCCAGGCTGTTAGAAGGGCAGGACCCACAAGCCTTCGTTTCAGAGACACTTACCACCCCACCGAGTTCCCAGGCAGGTAAATGACAGTGGCGAGAAGGATACATGGCACGTGTTAGACGGCTCTTGGGTGTGCTTCCTCTCAGCAGACACTGCCTTTGAAGATTACCATTCTGGGGGATAGAATCCAGCAGTATAAAAGAAATAGTCTGGTATGAATTGAGACTTTAGGTTATAAGGAGCCAAAATACTCAGACTTTTTTAGGTGGGGGGTGTAGGAGGTAGAATTTATTCGCACAAAGGACTGAAGACAAAGGATGGCTAGCTTCAGGCACAGCTTGTTCTAGGAGTTTGAGAGTTATGATAAGGGGTGGAGTGCAGTGGCTCACACCTGTAATCCCAGCACTTTAGGAGGCCGAGGCAGGTGGATCACTTTGAGCTCAGGAGTTCAAGACCAGCCTGGGCAACATAGCAAAACCCCATCTCTACAAAAAATACAAAAATTAGCTGGGCTTAGTGGTTTACACTTGTAATCCCAGCTACTCGGGAGGCTGAAGCTGGAGGATCACTTGAGCTCAGGAAGCAGAGGTTGCAGTGAGCCAAAATCATGCCAGTACACTCCAGCCTGGGTGACAGAGTGAGACCTTGTCTCAAAAAATAGAATAAAAATTAAATGAAGAGTTATGGTAAGGACTTGATTTCTTTATCCAACTCTTGGCCCCACTGTCCTCTGTGTTAGCCCCATTCTCATGCTGGTTTTCTGCCCTTGATGACAAGATGGTGTGGGAGCTCCAGCCATCACATCTGAATTCCAAGCAGCGGGATGGAAGACAAGAGGGTAGAATAACCACCCACCCCTACCCCACAGTGAAGACTCTTTTTTAAAGAGACTTCAGAAAAACTTTACATGACACTTTGCTATATGTCTCATTAGCTGTAGCATATCACACACAGCTGGAATGGAGGCTGGGGAATGTGGTTTTCTAGCTGGGTAGCCATATGTTCTGATACTAAAAAAGAAGGGGGAAATGGAAGCAAGCTAGCAGCCTGTGTCCCCTGGTATGCAGCTTAACTTAATGAGCTTGGCTGGAGGGGAGTATCAGAGATAGAAAAGGCACTCAAGTGTACTGTGTCCTCGACCTCATTCACAGCTGGGGCGTGACCGAGACTACAGCTAAGCCAGCAGACAAACCGTGCCCTGGCTCCCGTCTCAGTTCTCCTCATGGCCCTGACTGCTCTAGCCCTAGGCAGCTTTCCCCTGTTGGTGGCAGCAGTTAAAGGAACATTTTGGAAATCATAATTGGAGAAGAGAAGCTGAAATAGTGACAGCCAACAAGTTCAGAGCCAGGCCCTAGCTACAGCTCTCTGTTTAGGGTTGACTTTCCTGCAGATGCCTGCCCTGCTTAGAGGGGCTTTCTGCTCCTCCATCCATCTCCGCTTTGCCCTGCATGGCTGGGAAGCATTACCAGCCTGGACTTGGGGCCCAGGGATCCATTCCCTGAGGTCCAGTCCAGGTTTCTCTTTTTGGAGACCTTGGGGCACAGGACTGGCCCTTTTGTGAGATGGAGAAGATGCCCATGTGGTATGTCACCATGGAACCATTCTAGTTTAACACCCAGTGCCTGTTCCGATTGAAATGGATATGATTGGCCATGCCTTGCTGCCTATTAAACATCTTGGGTCTCCACCCTTTTATCATGGAAAGGATGGGAGGCTAGAATTGGATGTGGTGTCAAAGGAGACTTAGATTCATTTGCAGTGTTGTAGCTTTTTTTAATAAGGAGAAGGTATTCATGCATTGCTGTGTAATTAAGCATCATTCCTAAAAATGTATTGGACTCAAAGGCTGCATATTGTATGATTCCAATTATATGACATTCTAGAAAAATGCAACACTATAGGGACAGAAATCAAATTAGTAATTACATAGGGACTGGAAACGGGGGTAAGAGTTACTACAAAGGCCATGGGAATCTTGAGGATAATGGATGAATTTTGTATCTAAACTGTGACGGGGGTTACATGACTAAATATGTTTGTCAAAATTCATAGAACTATATATTTTAAATAGGTGAATTTTTTCTATATGTAAATTATACTTCAATAATCCTGACTTTATTTAATTAATTTATTTATTGAAATGGAGTCTCGCTCTGTCTCCCAGGGCTCACTGCAACCTCTGCCTCCGGGGTTCAAGCAATTCTTCTGCCTCAGCCTCCTGAGTAGCTGGGCTACAGGTGTGTGCCACCATGCCCAGCTAATTTTTGTATTATTAGTAGAGATGGGGTTTCACCATATTGGCCAGGCTGGTCTCAAACTCCTGACCTCATGATATGCCCGCCTTAACCTCCCAAAGTGCTGAGATTACAGGCGTGAGCCACCACGCCCAGCTCAATCCTGATTTTAAAGGGAGGTGGCTCCCCTGGTCCTGACTTTAAAAAGTGTATCAGGCCATGCGTGGTGGCTCAGGGCTGGAGCCCTGCCTATGTCAGTTATAATTATCCCATTTCACAGACCAGGAAATGAAGGGCCACAGCACTTAGGTGACTTGCTAGTAACCACACAACTAGTGAGAGGTAGCACCTGGTACAGGCTTGGTCTGTGTGCTCCTGAAGCCCACGCAGGCTCTGATCCTGGCCCCTGGCTGGAGGCACAGAGGTTAAGGATGAGGCCACAGGGACAGAGAGCAGCTTGCAGGCTCTAGAGAGAGAGGTCTCTGGTCCAGGAGCCCTGGTCTGGGGCCTGGCTTCCCAGGGCAGGGCAGTTGGTACCTGCATTCCTGGCTGGCATGTCTGTTTTGCCACTTCTGAGGGCTTAGCTGGGAGAGCTGAGCCTTGTGGATTCCTGTCCAGGCACCAATGAGTGCGCTGGACACTGCAGTGCTGCTGTAGGCAGGAGGACTCGGAGCAGTGCCTTTGGGTGGCCAGGCTTAGAAGCTGACAGCCTGAGAACCTGGCGGGCCAAGGGAGGTGGCTCCCCTGGTCACAGGGGTCTTGGGTAGCAACATTGACTGAATCAGGACAGTCTTGTGGGATGCGGAGCACAAAGCTGTCACCCTGGAATCTTCTCACTCCCTTCCTCCACTGCCTCCACGTTCTGTCAGCTCCACCTCCCTAATCCATCCATTGAAAGCGTTTCTCCTCTCTGCCTTGGCTGCTGTCGGGACCACTGTGATGACCTCCAGCTGAGCCCCTGCCCCTGCTGCCCAGCAAGCTCTTTGCTGCACCAGAGGGAATTGTTTGTTTATTTTGTTTCATTTATAACATAATAAATGTTACAAGCATAGCTGGGTCTTGCCATGTTGCCCAGGCTAGCCTTGAACTCCTGGCCTCAAGTGATTCTCCTATCTTGGCCTCCTGAGTAGAGGGCACTAAGCTGCTCTCAGCCATGGGAATTTTTTTAATGCAAAAATCAGACTGTCTGCCCCACTCAGAACCTCTCGTGGACTGCCCACTGCATTTCAAATCAAATGCAGCCTCCACAGTATGGCCCAAAAGTCCTGCAGAGTCAAGGCCTGTTGACCTCTGACCTTGAGTCACTTTCCCTTCATCTGCCCCCTCCCACCACACAAGTCTGTTCCCCTCTCCAGGAATATTATTCCTGCTCCCCACCTTCCTGCTCCCTGCCTTCTCAGACTTATTTAACCTGCGAACCTCAGGGAAGAGGGGCCCTGGCCATCTCTAGGCAGACATCGAGCTGTCTGCAGTGGTGCACGTGGGCACTTGTGTCTCCCCGCTGACTGGCACACAAAAGGCTCTTAGCAACCAGCCCTCCGGTCTCTCTGGCCTTTCCCCTTCTCGCATCCCCTGGTGCCACCACCAATAGCCAGTGGAAAGTTTAATAGGCAAAAAAAGAATAAAGAGAAAAAAAGCTTCCTCATGATGAGAAAGTGGGTCACCCAAGAGAGGGTCTCCCCAGTGGACATTTTTTAAACACCAGCTCATGTCAGCCATTGCCTCTGCTGGCTCTTTGACCTAGAGTGCCCTCGCCCCACCTATTCTCTTCCGTTAAGACACAGCCCAAATGTCCTTTCCTCTGGGCAGCCTCCCGATTCCCCCAGCTAGAATGGGTTCCTGCCGGTTCTGACATTCCACATGCCTGCACCCAACTCTGCTCCAAGTGTCACTCACGATTTCCATGTCCCCTCTGCCTTCCTGTGCCAAGCACACAGCCAGACACATAGTAAGTGCCCTCTCAGTGTCTGCAGACACGACGAATCTCTATGTCTCAGTCAGGCTTATGTTCACAAATCAGAGCTCTAAAACCAGACCCTGGTTTGAATCTCAAATCTGTGACTTTCCCCCTGCATGACCTTAGGCTTAACCTTTCCAAGCCTCAATTTCCTCATCTGTAAAAGGGGGACAATACTTGTGCCTGCTCCATAGGACTATTGTGATGACAAAATGGGTCAGTGTGCATGATGTGCTTAGAAATGAACCCAGTACATGGTGAGCACTCCTTAATATTGGTGGCTTTTATGTTTCTCCCTGGCGTGGGCCTGACATTTCAGTTGCCTGTGGCGAGTGCTTACTGAATTGACAGCCGTTCTCCTCCATTACCAGAGCTGGACAGAGGCCTCACAGAGCCCCAAATACAGGTCGTCTGCCGCCAGATGCTAGAAGCTCTCAACTTCCTGCACAGCAAGAGGATCATCCACCGAGATCTGAAAGCTGGCAACGTGCTGATGACCCTCGAGGGAGACATCAGGCTGGGTAAGGGACTCAGGGTGGGAAAGGTGAAGTCACAGGGCACCTCCTGGGTGTCAGCTTGGCCTCCGCAGGCCAGTGAGAGTGTGGTGGGGGTGTGGGTCCTCATGCCTACACTCTCTTGGCATGTCAGCAGTTCTCCCCTTCCTACTCTTGCTTCTTTCTTTTTTAAAAAATTACTTTATTTTATTTTATTGAGACAGTCTCACTCTGTCACACAGGCTGGAATGCATTGGTGCGTTCTTGGCTCACTGCAACCTCCATCTCCCAGGTTCAAATGATTCTCATGTCTTAGCCTCCCAAGTAGCTGGGATCACAGGCGCCTGCCACCATGCCCAGCTAATTTTTGTACTTTCAGTAGAGACGAGGTTTCACCATGTTGGCCAGGCTGGTCTTGAACCCCCGACCTCAGGTGATCCATCCACCTTGGCCTCCAAAGTGCTTGGATTACAGATGTGAGCCACTATGCTTGGCCAACACATTTTTTTAAAGTAATGATTTTTGGCCGGGCGTGGTGGCTTATGCCTGTAATCCCAGCACTTTGGGAGGCCGAGGCGGGTGGATCACCTGAGGTCGGGAGTTCAAGACCAGTCTGGCCAACATGGCAAAACCCTGTCTCTACTAAAAATACAAAAATTAGCCAGGTGTGGTGGCATGCGGCTGTAATCCCAGCTACTTGGGAGGCTGAGGCAGGTGAGTTGCTTGAACCTAGGAGGCAGAGGTTGGAGTGAGCCAAGATTGCACCATTGCACTCCAGCCTGGGCTACAGAGTGAGACTCTGTCTCAAGAACAACAAAAAAAAGAGCATGGTTGGTACTCAATAAACAGTCACTTCCAGCATTACCACCGCTTCTTTAGTCTGTGGTTACTTCAGCATCCCCAACTCCCAACACTAACGCCCCTCCCCAATGTGCAGGAGACCTGGCAGGTGCACCAGTCAGGAGGCCAACTGCCCACCTCTCACTCCCGCCTTCACCTAACCCAGCAGTGCTATTTCTTGCTCTCAGCAGGCTGGGGACCTGGTTCTCTCACTGTAGCTACCATGCACTGAGCTAGCATCTGATACGTGTTAACTCATTTCATCCTCAAAGGCCACTGATAACATCTTGCAGGATGGATTTGGGACCTCCTAGCAAGACTGTCTTATCCAAGGTCACACTGCTGATAAGAGGAACAACTAGAGTTCAAACCAAGGCAGCTGGCGCCAGAGCCTACATGCTTAGTGACTTGTCACTCTCTTAGTGATGAAAACCCATTTCCGAAGAGTTAAGGCAAACAGGAAACTGTGCACATCATGGAGCCAAATTGGAAAAGAAATGCAGTGGGGTGGGCCTCAAAGTTAGTTGGAACCTGGAACATAAATGCTGCCAGTACCATCTCCCTGGTCCTTGCCTTTCTGCGCATGTAGGTTAGGCTCCCAGACCAACCATCTCCACCAAGCTCAGGACACCATCTAATTTCACCTTTTCCAGCATCACCTCCTCCTGCATGAGCATGAATTCACCATTAGAGGCTTTGGTATCTATAATCCCGGGGGAGGGCTCTGATTGGCCCCACTTGGCTCAATCAGACCAATCCTTGGATCAATCAGTGAGGCCCAGGAAGAAGGGTGTCTCCCATAGGCCTGGCTTGTTGTCAGTCTCTGGCATGGAGGGTGGGGTCACGTGACAACACGGAAGTCTCCTTCCTCCCCATCCTCCTGGGGCAGTGTGGCCGGTGGGGAGTTGGTTTTCCAGAGGAAGGGAGGATTTGGACTGGCCAGGAAAACAAATTGCTGTCCCCCTACTCTGCCCAGCCTGTGAGAATCACATAGGTCCAGCGGAAGGGGAGTGAGTGAGGCAGAAGCTTGAGGGATGGGAAGCGAGAACAAAGGGCAGTGTTGGCGCTGAGTGCGGGGACGGTGTCAGGAAGACAGTGCAGTGTGACGCGGGAGGAGAGTCAGTGAAGGCGGAAGGTGGGGGTCAAAGCGGAAGACGAAGCCTTTAGCCAATGGGCACGTGTCTCCAGGTTCCTAAAAAAAAACAAAATGAAATAAAAATAACCTTACTGTAACCGCCCAATGGTTTCACCCTGCCCTCTGCCTAGACAGAGCTGATTTATCAAGACAGGGGAATTGCAATGGCGAAACAGTAATTCACACAGAACCAGCTGTGCAGGAGACCAGAGTTTTATTATTACTCAAATCAGCCTCCCCGAGCATTCTGGGATCAGAGTTTTTAAAGATAATTTGGTGGGTAGGGGCTTGAGAAATGGGGAGTGTGATTGGTCAGGTTGGAGATAGAATCATAAGGGGTCCAAGTGAGGTTTCCTTGCTGTTTTCTGTTCCTGGGGGTGATGGCAGAACTGGTTGAGCTGGGTTACCGTCTGGGTGGTGTCAGCTGATCCTTCGAGTGTACGGTCTACAAAATATCTCAAGCACTGATCATAGGTTTTACAATAGTGATCTTATCCCCAGGAGCAATTTGAGGAGGTTCAGACTCTTGGAGCCAGAAGCTGCATGAGTCTAAACTGTAATTTCTAATCTCATAGCGAATTTGCTAGTCCTGCAACGGCAAACCGGTCCTCAGGCAAGAAGGGGGTCTTTTTAGGAAGGGGCTGTTACCAATTTTGTTTCAGAGTCAAACCATGAACTGAATTATTTCTCAAAGTTAGTTCGGCCTATGCCCAGGAATGAACAAGGACAGCTTCAAGGTTAGAAGCAAGATGGAGCTGGTTAGGTCTGATTTCTTTCACTGTTATCATTTCCTCAGCTGTAATTTTTCAAAGACTGTTTTATTACCACGGTAGAGCAGTTCTTCCCAGCTCACAGTTGGCTAAATAATATGATCCCTATTTAATAGATAAGGAAACTAATGCTCAGAGGCATTTAGCAATTTGTCTATAATCAAGCTAGAATTTTCTCACTTCCCTGCCCGCAGTGCTTGCCTGACACTTCTGAGAGGGCAGGTCATCCCTCTCATGAGAAGAAGCCACTTTCTTAATGAGCTCAGGTGCGCACTGGCTGGTGCGAGCTACAGATCCCAGGGCTGAGGATAGGAGCATTTGCTTTCTTCTGTCCCCACCACAGTTTCAGCAAGTCCCAGCACCTCTCTGTCCTTTGCTTTCCTGCTTGTACCGTGGGGGACCTGGCTAGCATTTGTCCACAGGAGCACTGTTGGCATTTTGGACTGGACGGTTTTCACTGTTTTCTGAATGACAAGGTTTCTCCTACCTTGGATTTTTTTTTTTTTTTTTTTTTTGAGATAGTCTCATCTGTCACCCAGGCTGGAGTACAGTGGTGTGATCTCTGCTCACTGCAACCTCCGCCTCCTGGGTTCAAGCAATTCTCCTATTTCAACCTCCTAAGTAGCTGGGACTACAAGCATGCACCACCACACCCAGCTAATTTTTGTATTTTTAGTAGAGATGGAGTTTCATCATGTTAGCCAGGATGGTCTTAATTTCCTGACTTCATGATCCACCTGCCTTGGCCTCCCAAAGTGCTAGGATTACAGGCATGAGACACTGCGCCTGGCCCTACCTTGGATTCTTTTGGTCACCTTCGCCAAGGTGACAGATCAAGGGGACAGATGAGAGACTCCCTTATAAATGTGCATATATTCTAAGTTCACTGTTTTTGTGCATGTTATAATGCATTTTACACATTTATGTCATTTTTTTCATTATAAAGGTAATTATGATATTGATACCTATACAGAAAGATATATACAAAGACAGACATTGCAACAATATTTGTAAGAGCAAGAAATCAGAAATGATCCAAGTGCACATACTCCAGTAGAGAATTAAATAAGTTTTTGGTGCTGTCAAACAGTGGAATCTTTTTCAGCTATTGAAATTAAGTTGCAGAAAAAATTAAGTTGCATCTCTTATAAAGATGTAAAATACATACTTTGAAGGTGAAAAGCAACTTTAAAAGTAGAAAATACATAAAAATGTATAATACATACTTTGAAGGAGAAAAGCAACTTTGAAAGTAGAAAATACGTAAAAATTATGTATATACAATTTTTGTCTATTTCTACTTATATATAATTTTTAGGTAGGGCATGGTGGCTCACACCTGTAATCCCAGCACTTTGGGAGGCCAAGGTGAGAGGATCGCTTGAGCCAGGAGTTCAAGACCAGCCTGAGCAACATAGTGAGACCTCGACACTATAAAAAAATTGTTTTAATTTAAAAATATATATAATTTTAATATAAATAAATAAATCTGGAGCTATACACAGCAAACCCTTAAATGTTTAGCTGTCAGTATTATAGTTTTTTCTCTGTAAAATAATGAGTTTCTAATAAGCAACATTACTTTGGTAATCAGAAAACACACACACACACGCTACACATAGAGTCCTGTAGACAATTTGGAATAAGACCCACAAAAAGGAGAATTAAAGTCTCTCCTAAACCTATCAGAATAAATCACCACTCCCTGTGGGCTTCCCTCCAAGTCTTTTTTCTGTCTGCAGGAAGGTCGGACCAGATAGTGGGAAAGGGCACAGCTGGGTGACCTGAACGTTACTCAGGCTCTCTTAACTGAAGCTTCCTTATCTGTAAAATGGGGGTCATAATTTTACAGGCCTTAAAGGGTCATAGATATAAATGATGTGTGTAGGCATAGATGTGCAGATGATATGCATATGTTTCTTTGCACAGTGCTATGCGCATGGTAAGTTCTCAGTAAATATTAGTTTTTATAAGATAAACTGGGATCATTATATATATACAGTTTCTTAGTCTGGTTTTTAACATTGAATGTCAGCTTATTCCTCCATATCCTTAAAGATTCCTCAGAAACTTGATGATTTTCAGGTTTTTCTTGTATCCCATCACATGCAGAAAATGTAGTTTACCTTTCAAAGCCCTAAGGAAAGCCCTGAATGGGATACGTAGGTTTTTCATGAGGTTTATCATCTTCTTTACTAAATCACGCAGTGATGACTGTGCTTGTTCATGGATCTTTGAGTCTCTTTCTATAACATACCTTGAGGCGGAATTCTCCGAAGCAGAGTGCTGGGTGTGTGCAGTGAGTCAGGGTTTTGTTCATCTGCAGCCCTTGTGCCCCGTTCTGGTTGTACCAGTTGACCCTCCCCCCAGGGGAGTGTGAAATTCTCTTTTCACCACATCCTGGCCCCTATTGAGTTTTACTTAACCATAGAAACAATTCACTCTATTAAAAACATTTTAAAGAATAAAACTGTGTCAAGTGACAAATGTGAGGTCGCCTCTGTGCACTACCCCCACCAAAATCCCACTTTCAGGGAGGTGAACATGAAGTGGGATATGCAACCTTCCAGACTGGTGTGAATGTGTGTGTGTGTGTGCACAGGTGTGCACATATGTACACACAATATGCATATATCATTCTTTTAAAGATAATCTGACTGGGCGTGGTGGCTCACGCCTGTAATCCCAGCACTTTGGGAGGCTAAGATGGGAGGGTCATCTGAGGTCAGGAGTTCAAGACCAGCCTGACCAACACAGTGAAACCCCGTCTCTACTAAAAATATATAAATTAGCCAAGCGTGGTATCCCACGCCTGTAATCACAGCTACTCAGGAGGCTGAGGCAGGAGAATTGCTTGAACCTGGGAGCCAGAAGTTTGCAGTGAGCTGAGACGGCACCACTCTAGCCTGGGCGACACAGCGGGACTCCGTCTCAAAAAAAAAATGATAATAATCTTCTACTAAAGTATTGTTACTTGGATCATTTCTGGAACCATACTACACATTTTATAAGACTCAGTGGTCAATTAGCAACATGTTTG